AAGAATACAGCAACTACAGATTTGTAAAACAAAACAGAAAATAAAATGTACAGCAGGATTTTCACAAGTGTGTCAGGGATTGGCTTAATGGTAGCTCAATCTTAGAAGTTGATCAATAAGCGTTATTAATTAAGAGAAACTAAGTTATATTCTAAAGTTGGAATTTCAAGTTAATATAAAAATATTTTTTACTTCACTAGTTTCCACAGCAGGTAGAGAAATAGCCCCTAAATCTTGGTGCTAAGTAAATAGATGTGCCAATTATTTAAAGGGAAACTCCTGATTCACAAGTGCCTGTGTACTAGAGCACTCCAAAACAGTTGTCACTCAACTGCTCTTGGCTTGAGAAGAATAGCCACATACCTTTCAATTCCAAAGAGACATTCTGTTGCAATAGTGGAAGTATTTATAACAAATCTTTTCAGTTAAATTCGTTTCTAGAAATAACATTGAAAAAATAAATTAAAATATTTTAAATTACTTGGGATAATTTGATAAATAATTGATGCTATTAAAAGATGAGGATCTGTATTTCTGGAGGGATATGCATCTTGATATTATTTTAAAAATTATACAACTAATCAAGTGTGCTGTAAAGATTAATTAAGCTATTCCTGACTTGGCATGATTGGAGTTTTCATGTGTTGTTCATATGTAGTTTTATTTAAAACTGTAAATATACATTTGTAATATATTCCATTTAAACTGCTCCCCCAGCATTTAAGGTAATTTTCTTGCTGAGCAGTGTATGAATGAGCTTCGAAATACCTGATAAGAAATTGAAAATCATGAAATGACTACAAAATCAGCCAAAGTATGTCAGTTGCCTCTCCAGAGAGTACAGAGAAATGTGTCTATAAAGAGGCATCAAACACCCTAAAGTACAGAGGTTCTGAAGTCACTGTGATCCCAATGCAAAACAAATAATAGTGCTAAACAATGCAAAACAAATAATAGTGCTAAAAAAGAAAATATTAACAAATTCCTGAGGTCAATTGAAAAATGAATTGCCACATGTCCTCTATCATACAAACTTCCTACTTTTTAATAGCATCATCAAGTGACTAAGAATCTAAGATCATTTTGAAATGCACATTATATAACTCATAGCAAATCTAGTAATCTGCATCTTTCACTTGTCCCAAATTAGTTTTATAAAAGAAAACTCAGAGGGCTATGCCCTGACAGGCATGCCTTGTTCATATGTAGTTTTAAATTGTTTTACAGTTGCAATTTTTAATGAAGAATAATGTTTAATTTTTGTATGTCTGTGGAGAAGTGTATGAGAGGGAACTGTTTGAAATTAAAACATCAATAGTTGTGTTATACAAATCAGATATCACTGAATTTTTTTCTGAAATAATCAGTTGAACATGTAGTTGAACATCATACCTACTTTTCATATGAAAATTTAGCCATCCTAAGGTGCACTAGTGGTTAAAACATTTTTCTCCCTCCCTTTTTAATGCAACCTCTGGCTCTGAAGACTAGAGACTTGTTTAGAACTTATTGAAGTTTCCCAAAGCAAAACCACGCACCAGCTCCAGATTCAGATGCCAGATCTCTGGGCAGCCTCCTTCAGCTTCTAAGTACGATAAGCATCACTTTATTAATCATGTATGAATTTCCGTGCATGTAGCCCGAAGCGATCACACACGATGCAAATCCAATGAAATAAAAAGAAGCCTTACCTGATGGCAGAAACAGCAGCTGCGGGAACAGAAGCAGAAAAGGCAGCAGCAGGATGCAACAACCCAGCCTCGCACCGAAGGTGAGACCCTTCGCTGGCTTGCTCTTCTGAATCACTGTAGCAGCATGCTGCTTTGCATTTTTGTCCCTTTTCACTCGCAGAAGGTTGTCCAGTCCGAGCGGCCAGTAGACACCACTTTCTTCCTGGAAGAGGCTGCCTCTCTTCTCAGAAACGCTTGGACCCGGGTCTGTGGCTCCCTCCACATTTACCCTTCAGATCAATAATGCTCGCCCAGCGGCTGGAGCTTAGCTGCAGCGGCGAGCGGCGGGCCAATGAGAGCCGAGGATTCCTTCCCTGTCATCTCCCCTCCCTCAAAACAAAACACAGCGTGCCTTTGACACATCACCCAGTTGTGAAAAGTAATTGAATCCTATATCTGAAACGTATCTTGTTTGTTCTCTTTTCCCCCTAGCGTTCATTGGAGAATGCTTTGAATGAATCCAAGACTCCAGGCCTCCAGGAAGACTCTTGAGAGCTTAGCAGTGGCTGAGGATCCTGAACTCTGAGAAAGTGCTGGCACCTGAGTTGGCACCCAAAGCTCTGGTTTTTAAGAGCTCTAGGCCTGTTGAAGAGAAAAGACCCCTCAACCAGGAGGCAGAAAGCTTGGGCTTTTGTCTTCACTTAAGTATTTATTTTCATTCTTTTCTTTTTTTTTGGAACAAGACAATTAAGTTTATTTGCCTCCAGTTTTTCTCATATTCTTAATCACCCTCTAAACAAGTGTCAGCTCTTAATTGGTGATAATTATAGTCAGTTTCTTTTAAGCCATTCACTGTTTTATGCCTTATCTAACTTTGTCCATATCCTGTTCAAGATTAAAAATTCTTCAGACAATATATATAAAGTCTGAGATCTCTCTCTCTCTCTCTCTCTCTCTCTCTCTCTCTCTCTCTCTCTCTCTCTCTCTCTCTCTTTGGTACTGTAAAATGAAATTTGATTTTTTTAAATTTTTATTTTGAGATAGGATTTCACTAAATTGCTTAGGGACACTAAGTTGTTGGTTTGGTTTTGAATTTGAGACCCTCCTGCCTCAGCCTCCAAGCCTCTGGGATTACAGGCCTGCACCAAGTTGCCCAGCTTTATCTGTTTTAATTTGGTTGTATTTACATATTATAGGATTTTTGAGTTGCTTCTGAGGGAATTTATTAGTGTTACTTGAAACTTCATAGGATATGTTAGTGGTGACAAAATATTATAATGAAGAATATCACTCTGGAAAACAATTGTACCCATTCTTCTAAATGCCTCAAATCACAATGCATGCTTTATTCATGATACTTTCTTACCATTTCACTATTGAAGTGTTATATACTGAATAAAAATTTGCTTAAACATGTTAAACAAAAGTCACTTATTTTTTATTCAAGATTCTGTCAATTTGTCATTTATATATAAAAGATTCAGCAATATTTGAGAAAATCATTTAATCTAAGTCAGTCCAGAATCGCAAGAATGCAGTTTCTCAATGTAGTTTGTAAAAATATGTATAAAAATGAGTAGAACTGGAAGCTCAAACAACTGCACAAATAGTAATGGCTTTTCAATGTCATTGTTGAATAAAAATAAAATTAATATGTCTTTCTGAAATCCTTTTGTTCCACTGAAGTAATACAAATAGGTTGATGTATTTGGTGTAGCCAAGTTTTGTGTATCATGACAAGTTAAAATAGCTTAGGGAGACTTTACAAACAAAACAATTTTGGTACCTGTCCATCATGTGAAGGAGGCATGGGAAAATGTAATATTTACAGCTCACTATTCTGTGTCACCATAAAAAGGTGAGTGCTAACTTTATTGTAACTTGTTCATGTAGCCAATAAAATTTTATTCAGGGTAGTGTCTACATAAGTATAATCACTAGGACTTTTTAAAAAACAGCAATATGCTGATGAATCATAAACATGATTTTTCCTCAACTGCATATTAAAAAGCATTCATTTATTACTTTCATTTATGGATAGCAAATAACATTGATAGGGTTCTGTAGGTCAAGGGTTCACAGTGTGTAGTTCTCAGAATGAAAGCAGAGTTCACTAAGCCACTTTAAAAGTAGTACATAATAACTTATTTTTCCATATTTCACCACATAAATGTGGTGCACATTGAAGTTTGCAAATTTTGGCTCTAGGAATGGGTCTTCAAACTACCACAGAAAACTTGTCACCTGCTTTTTTAAAATAAAGTTTTATTGAAAAACAAACTTATTCCTGTTTCATGTTATTGATGGTTGCTTTTGCCAACTACTCAACTCAAATAGGTAGTTGTAAAAAAGACCTTCAACTGAAAGGTTAAAATATTTGCCATCTGACCCTTTAAGAAAATGGTTGATCATTGCCCATGGCATTATAAGATTTACAATATAATTTGTGTGAATGGCAAGAGTTTAGAAAAAAAGAACATGTAAAGATGAGATGAACAAGATGAGATTAATAAAATCAGTGAATTTGAAAATAGACTTTAAATGATAATTTTGTAAATTACATTGGGGAATGTGTGTGCATTTTTATAGAGTTTTGCTGCTTCCTCTGGGAGTTGTGTTTTTCTTCTCAAGTCTTGGTATCTGATTTGCTCTGAAATAGAAATGGGAAGGGACATTGTCATTTCCAAGGAGAATGCTGAAGAACAAATATAAGCTTATGTACACTTCTGTCAGCTTGGGTTGTTGAATGAAGAGGACATTGGAATATTTCTAGAGTTTTTATCTGTTAGCCATGGAGATTTGGAGACACTTCATTTCTTCTCTAGAAACTCATCTTCCTGACTAAAGCAGGTTAGAATTAAGTGGAGGTAAGAAAGAGTACTGAAGCAGAGGCATTCCCTGGGACAAGGCACTGGCCTGGAAATGCAAACATGATTTTTAATTTTGGGGAAAAAGTAATAAGCCAGTAGAGTCTCATTCAGGAAGGAATGACTTGAAAGATAAGAAATCTTTTTTTTTTTTTTCCTTCAGTATCAGAGACTGAACTCTGAGCCATATCCCCCAAACCTTTTTATCTTCATTTTTTTTTTTATTTTTGACAGGATGTTGCTAAGTTGCTAAGGACCTTCCTGAGTTACTGAGAGTGGCTTTAAAATCTAAATTCTCCTGCCTCAACCTCCTGAGCTGCTGGGATTACAGGTATGCACCATCATGTCCAACAGAAATTTATATTTTAAATTAGATCATTAATGCTAAGAGAGTAAAACTAAATTTTTTACAACTTGGTAGTCCCAAGAAGGCTGTTTAGAAAATATCTTCAACGAAGAATATGTTAAAGGTTTCTGTTGGCAAAGAAGAGACAGAAGAATAGTAAACAAATGAAAATTCAACACAAAGCTGTGATGTACTATGGACCAGGACTCAAGCATTTTCACTGATAAGCTTGTATCCAATGAGTCAAAAAGTTCCATCAATTTGATGTTCTAAATGCAATTTAAAGCCTCATTTTATCCTGTACTTAACACCATTGCAATTGTTTCAACTCAGGCTTTCACGATGCCTCCTTAAACATTTGTGGCAGCCTCATAATGGGTTTGTGTCCTCAACACATATATTATTGGACAACAGTCGCTTTGATTCACTATTTGTTTATTCCAATACCCACTCAGGCTTGTGGAGCATTTCTGACTTCATAGAAATGGGAGGCAAACCAGCCATAGAAACCAGGAGATTCTCCGAAGAGCAACAGTAACTTTCCTTTAGAAGTGACTAATATCACTTCTCTTTATAATTCCTTGGCCAAAGAAAGCACCCAGTACATTGCTAAGACTAATGTCAATGTGAGAGAGATGTGCAACTTTCCTACAGAGAGCAAGCCATGGGTAAGACCAGCAAGTCTTTTGAAAAATAATACCATCGACCATAACATCTTCTGACCCTAAAATAAGGAAAAGAAGTTACCCATCAGGTAGTCTGCATGTCCAGGGAAAAGATTTCTTCCTCTTAGGTCTACCATTTTGTATGTTGTGTTTATTCATAAGTAGGAATACCTTAAAACAACAACAACAACAAAAAAAAAAGAAAAACAAAAATGCATAAGAATAATTAAAAATGATTTATTATTCATAGATATATATAACAGGGATAGAAAGAATCAGAGTGCTCTGTGTTTTTTAATATTGAAAATTTTCCATATTTTCCTGACTTCATAAAGCAGAGGATTAAACAAAGACTCATGTGACTATATTTATATACTAGATGATCTCCATAGTCAGTTTAAAGGGGCTTAATTATGGTGGTCACTGTCAATAATATGCATAAGTAATACCAGGATCTGGAGAACTGTACAGAATACCTCCCAGAATTTCCCAAGCACAAAACTGGAAGCCCTCCCCTCTAATTGGCCTGGAGTCCCACTCAGAGATGCAACTGCTACACACACACACACACACACACACACACACACACACACACACACAGTGTGGGCACAGTGAGTCCTATCACCTATTTTCAGTGTAAAAGAAGCCTGAAGGCAGAAGACAATGAGCCAGTGCTCACTTCAGGAATTTACCATCCGTAACATAGTCAATCACAAACATAAGTATCTGTTCCTTCAAGATTCAAGAAAAATCAGAAAGTCCAAATTGTGTAAGTTCTCATCTAGTATTCCAGAATAGCATTTATTTCAACAAAAAGTGGCAGAAAGAGAAGATAAATTCCTGGAATGCAGATGTTAAATATTTGGAAATTCAGACTGAGGCAGAATATACAGATTATCAGGATGAGCTAAGGATTCCAGAAACTGAATAGAATCTACAGCTAGAGCACAGAGCAGAAAACAGGGATTTGGCTAGTCATCCAGTACCAATAAGAATAAAACACTATGACATCCTTTACTAATAATAAATGGGTTAATGTTTCCTGAGCACTTACTAGGTGTCAGGCATAGTGTAAAATATTCCACTTATATTTTCACAGCACATACGAAGGTGGTGCTAGTATTTTCTTCATTTTACAAATGGAAAAATGACAGCAGAGAGAACATAAACATTTAGTGGTCACTGCATAGTAATCTATGGCAGCTGAACTCCTGGGCTCATTTTTGTCAACATTCACCTCTAATGCTTAT